TACACCGTGGGTCTCGTCTGGTGTGGTAGATCTGGGCCTCTATTGCTCGAGTGCTCAGGGCCTACTCCTGAGCAGCCAGGATCAGTGCCTCTGTGCTGTTCTTCAGACCAGCCCTCTCAAGACATTGGTAGGATTTCTTGATATCAGCCACTTCAGTTATGTTCCGGTGGTACGCCCCATGTAGGGGTTTGTCCTGCCATGATGGTCCCTCCAGCACCTCTTCTTCTGGACCCCACGGTCTGAGACATTCTCGGAGCACCTCATCTGTCAGGGCCTTGTCCTTGATGTACTCAAGGAGCTTGGATGTTCCCACACTCACTAGTCCTCGGCCTCCTTCCTTCCGGCCTGCGTACAGTCTCAGGGTGCTGGATTTGGGATGGAACCCTCCATGCGTGGTCAGGAGCTTTCATGTCTTAACATCTGTGGTCTGTATCTCCTCCTTTGGCCAGCTTACAATTCCTGCAGGGTATCTGATCACTGGCAGGGTGTAGCTGTTGATTGTCTGCACCTTGTTCTTGCCATTGAGCTGCTTCTTAGGACTTGTCTCACTCTTTGCAGGTATTTGGCTGTAGCTGCTTTCCTTGTTGCTTCTTTGAGGTTGCCATTTGCTTGTGGGATACCAAGGTACTTGTAACTGTCCTCAACATCTGCTATTGTTCCCTCTGGGAGTGAGACCCCCTCTGTGTGGACTACCTTCCCTCTCTTTGTCACCATCCTGCTACATTTCTCAAGCCTGAATGACATTCCAGTGTCTGTACTGTAGATCCTTGTGGTGTGGATCAGTGAGTCGATGTCTCACTCACTCTTAGCGTACAGCTTTATGTCATCCATGTAGAGGAGGTGACTGATGGTGGCCCCATTTCTGAGTCGGTATCCATAGCCAGTGCGGTCGATTATTTGGCTGAGGGGGTTCAGACCTATGCAGGACAGTAGTGGGGACAGTGAGTCTCCTTGGTATATGCCACATTTGATGGACACTTGTGCAAGTGGCTTGCCATTGGCTTCAATGGTGGTTTTCCACAACCGCATCAAGTTTGCAATGAAGGCTCTTAGAGTCCTGTTGACATTGTACATCTCCAAGCACTTAATAGTCCATGTGTGTGGCATTGAGTCGTAGGCTTTCTTGTAATCAATCCAGTCAGTGCACAGGTTGGTCTTACGGGTTCTGCAGTCGCGGGCGACTGTTCGGTCAACCAGGAGTTGGTGCTTGGCTCCCCTGGTGTTTTTGCTGATGCCCTTCTGTGCTGCGCTCATGTATTGATCCATGTGCCCACTTATCTTACCCGCAATGATGCCTGACATGAGCTTCCATGTTGTGGAGAGACAGGTTATTGGCCGATAGTTGGATGGGACTGTACACTTTGAGGGATCCTTCAGGATCAGGATCATGCGCCCTTGGGTTAGCCATTCAGGGTGTGTCCCATCCCTTAGCAGCTGGTTCATTTGTGCTGCCAGGTGCTCGTGGAGAGCAGTGAGCTTCTTTAGCCAGTATGCATGGATCATGTCAGGACCCGGTGCGGTCCAGTTTTTCATACCTGAGACTCTTTCCTGGATGTCTGCCACTGTGATGGTGACTGGATTCTGTTCAGGGAGGTTCCTGTGGTCTTCTCTCAGATCCACCAGCCACTGTGCATCGGTGTTATCTGATGCCTCCCTCTCCCATATGCCTTTCCAGTACCTCTCAGTCTCCAGCCTTGGTGGGTCTGCTCTGGTGTTATTACCCTGCCACTGAGCGTACACTTTCTCCAGTTGTGTTGCAAACAGCTGGTTTATTCGTCTAGCCTCTTTATCTCGTGTGTACCTCTTTAGGCGGCTGGCCAAGGCTTGGAGCCTTTGTTTGGCAGTTTCGAGTGCTTCAAGTACGGGCATCTGGTTGTACCTCTTGGGTACTTGCTTTTTCATTGCACCTTTCTGGGCCTCTGACAGTTGGCTCACTTCTCTCCGCGCCTCCTTGATTTTTGCCTCTAACCGTCTTTTCCATGGTGGGTATCATATCTGTCAGGGAATTCTACCCAAAAGACATTAAAAATACATTAAATAAAGACACACCAGAAAGAGACGGTTAAAATTTATACTTGCGCAAGGAGAGTCGTGAACACTGTCTGTCAGCTCCCTGACCTACTCTGCTCAACAACTCTCCAAGTCACACTTTTATTGAAAATCATTTCACAGATAAGCATACTTGATGACATCACAATACATACATTTCACTTGTTATCTTATAACTAACAATCGTCAACTGAACCACCCTCCCATTTCACACTTGATTACATATCCCAAAGATAGACAATTGCGTGGTTCCCCAAGGCCTTCAGTTTTAACATAAGATGGGACAAACCCAGAATTGTTGGCGCCCATAGTAGATTAGCTTAATCGGTCAGTTGACATGTCATTCATATCTGATGCTGTTTTCATGTCACGTATATCCTGAACCAAAACAGACCCAAAGCAATGTTGATTACACCATGATTAATATTTAAATGTTTCACCCTTTAAATGATTAATACTTTAATGAAAGAATTACATATATAATGAGTAACACTTTAATGAGACTTTGAATCAAAGAAATACATTTATATCATAGAATTCTCTAACAATATCTCATGGCTCCCATGGTTGCTCTCATAGCCAAACACCTCTAGGATCACTGCTGCTGAAGTGTATATCAGCTCATTGGTTTCAGTGATTGTTGTGGTAGGTGCTCAGTGCTGTATTCCTCTGTAACTGGCATCAGGGTTGCCTTGTGTTCATTCGGGCCATGAGCTTATCTTTCAGGTCAGTTGCTGCCTCGCTCAGCGTGATACTTATTGGGGCTTCGTACCCAATCTCTGGTTGGGGAGTTGGTGTCAACATACTGGCTCCCCCTTGCCATGGCATTTGTGTTGTACCTCATCAATCTCTAGTTGTGATACCAGTAGTTTATTCATTGTTGCATGTTTGTTGTTGTACAGGTTCAAGGGACTGTTTTCTGGCAAACAGCAAAGAGTCCAGCAGCTTAGCCCAAAGGAAACCTGTGACTGTCCAGCCTACACTTCTATACGTGGTAGGAGGCCCTGTAGCCAATCCCTATTTCGTTTCCTGCTCCTACCACCTCCAGCGCGCCTTGGACTCGTACTGGGGGATCTTTATGTTTTGCCTCCTTGTTTGTGGATTAAAACTTAGGTTCCCTCCTGGAACATGGACTATTAGGATTACTATTGAACTCTGAACTCTGGCAGGCGTGGAGGTTCTAGCTCTTAACATGGATCTAATGCCGTCCTACATGAACTCTCTTACCAAATTCATTGTATCAGCTCTTGCCTCTCTTACATGACTCAAGTGCACTTGAAACTGTAAATATTGTATATATGTCTCAATAACACTGCATTTTTGGATAGCATCATAATTTTGTCTTGTTTTATTTGGCACTTTTTGTTTACTTCTCCTTCTAGAGAGAATCTAGTTTCTGATCCGACTTCATATATTTCACATTTGATCATATTCTGCATAAATCATGGTAACCTACTACTCAACAGTTTTTGGTAGTGTTATAACAGCTTCAAAACTCATATGTGATACTTATGTATGTTTCATTATTGCAAAGAAATGTACTCAGAATGAATACTATAATATACTGTTTCACTTATCATTTATCTGATTCGTCGATATGGTAAAATAATAGGAATACACACTATACAGTTTGGGATATATTCTTGTGGGGACCCTGTATACATACACTTTTCCAGGGATGTCCTCATGGGGCCCCTGCAGTACCACCTGATGACCACTAGGGTATACACACGACGCACACTTTCTCACGAAAATTCGCCCCCAGGGGACTTTTTCTAATTTTGAAAAAAAAATTCACTAGGCATATTAGAATGACGTTTTACAGTTATTTAGATGGTTGGACTCGTGGGGTCCAAGCCTAGGGCCACATGAGTCAAAAGTGGTCCCCACGTCGTGAGTGAAATCTCAGGTTGTGGACCCCTCGAAGATATAAAAACGAGTGCGCACATGCACACACACGCGCACACACGCACACACACACGCACACACACGCGCACACACACACACGCACACACACACACACGCACACACACGCGCGCACACACGCACACACACACGCGCACACGTGCACACACACGCACACACACACATGAAATGAGCAATGAGCCCATATTGTGCTATTGTCTCATTTATGTGTTAATGTAGTGTCCTCATCACAAACAGACCTGTAGTTGTGTTTTGTTTCATTCACACATTTAACACACAAAACCTGCATATTTAGGAGTTCTTCTCTTGAACAGAAAACAGTCATGACCTTGTGATGTCATGTGGTAATAAAGGAAGCGCTCCACAGTGTTTCTAAAATCCATACACCTATACTAGAATCATTTGGATCATTTAGGTCCAGGAACTTCCAATCTCTGCTGAACTAAAGGTAAAAGGAGCTGTTCAAACTATGGCATGACATCACAAAGTGGAGCAAAGCATTCTGCGCTTTCACAGATATGAAGCAAAACACAACTCCGGGTATGTTTTTGAAAGATTTTAGTGTTTTAAAGTGAGCTGGAGGACAGGTCAGAATTCCATCATAACATGGAAATAGAAAGTTAAAACTGTACTTAAAACATTCTCTACAAAAATCCATTTACTTTATGCCATACTATGAAATATGTTTGCCACAGGAACAACATTTACACGGAAGGCATGCTTTTCTCAGTGAAACACAACCTACACAAGAACAAAACAAAACAAAAAGCTTTTTATATTAGTCTATTTGCAGACTGTGTCTTTACCTGTCAGATTACAGATATTTTGGTTTATGGTCAATATTTCTGTAATGACAAAGTCCAGTGTCTTCTCTATCAGTGTAAGTGAAATGATTTTTTTTCACAATCGCTTCATAAACTGGTGCCATAATTCAACTTCACAGATGTGAGTGTTGCCAGTCGCTTGTACCTGTACTCGCTTGTGTGTGTGTGTACTGTGCTGACGTGTGTGTGTGTGTGTTGCAGCGTTTTGGTCCTTCATGTGGTTTGTGGGATTCTGCTTGTTGGCCAATCAGTGGCAGGCGAGTCGAGTGGAGGACAACCCCCTGAGAGAGGGCGGGGACGCAGCCCGGGCAGCCATCACCTTCTCCTTCTTCTCCATCTTCAGCTGGGTACATGTCTTACTCCAGTGTTCCAACCACAAACCAAGTTTCTACTGTTACAGTGGAACAGGATCATGTCTACAGTCTAAGGACCTGTTTGTGTTAAAGACGGGGTATTTCACTACAAATCAACGCACTAACAAGTTTGATCATTTTCACTTAGTTTCTGATACTACGAATTGTCCCTCCCATTGCTCAAGTCATTCCCCCTTCAGAGCATTATCCCAACACAATCAGCAGATCACATCAAGTTTGTCAAGTCGCTGTGCTCAACATGTTTTTGTATATTTCTGGAGAATTGTCGTGTGGGAGCACGGGTGACGGAGGCGGAGCATTGTTCTAATGAGGCCCAGGGGAGATCGCTAGAATAAATTCCTGGATGATAATGCATCGATGTAAAACCTCTTCTGGAATGTTTTTGAGAACAAGGTTAGAACATGATAAAAGCTCCAAAAAACGATTAAGCAGAATACCCCCTCTTTAATGAACATGAGATGCAATTAATAAATGAAACACTTAATGGGTCATAGAAGGGATTTATTCAACCTTCAGTTCAAATCTTATCATAGTGCAGAAAAATAACAAAAATACAAACCAGTATAGATATGGATATAGTCATTATCAGACTTTCTGCAAAACTATAGAAATGCCATTGAGCATTGAGAGGACATGTGTTATTGTATTATTTTTATTATTTGTGTAGAAAATGTTCATACTTTTGATAAAAATGGGACTGGACTGGACTAGACTACAACACTGTAACATAAAATGAGTAAATGACTGGCATAAGGGTCTTCCTCAGTTTCATATAATAATAATAATGTCCATAAAATGTCAACTTTTTTTATACAAAGCTTACTTAACTTCCGCCTTTCTTCCCACAGGGGGCACAGTCCTTCCTGGCCTTCCAGAGGTACAAATTGGGGGCCGACTCTGCCATCTTCTCCCAGGACTACACTGACCCGGGGCAGGAGGCGGGACAGGGCCCCTACAGTGCCTTCCCCGGGGATACGGTGGAGAGCCCGTCTGCAGGGGGCGCTGACGGGACACCGGACAGCCCTGTGGGGTACCAGAGGCAGGAGTATTGAAGGATTTTGTATCTTTGTACAGGATTCACTGTAACAAGCTTCCCCAGTGTGTCATTAGAATTCTGTTATTGCATAAGCTACTGGTTCAAATGAAAGTATAAGAATAATGTATTGTTGTGGGTAGGATACCAGCTAGGTCCTCCCTGGGTCCTCTCTGGGTTCTTTCTGGGTTCTCTCTGGGTCCTCTCTGGGTCCTCCCTGGGTTCTCTCTGGGTTCTCTCTGGGTCCTCTCTGGGTTCTTTCTGGGTCCTCTCTGGGTTCTCTCTGGGTCCTCCCTGGGTTCTCTCTGGGTTCTCTCTGGGTCCTCTCTGGGTCCTCTCTGGGTTCTCCCTGGGTCCTCTCTGGGTTCTTTCTGGGTCCTCTCTGGGTTCTCTCTGGGTTCTCTCTGGGTCCTCCTGGGTCTCTCTGGGTTCTCTCTGGGTTCTCTCTGGGTCCTCCCTGGGTTCTCTCTGGGTTCTCTCTGGGTCCTCCCTGGGTCCTCCCTGGGTTCTCTCTGGGTTCTCTCTGGGTCCTCTCTGGGTTCTCTCTGGGTCCTCCCTGGGTTCTCTCTGGGTCCTCCCTGGGTTCTCTCTGGGTCCTCCCTGGGTTCTCTCTGGGTTCTCTCTGGGTTCTCTCTGGGTCCTCCCTGGGTTCTCTCTGGGTTCTCCCTGGGTCCTCTCTGGGTTCTTTCTGGGTCCTCTCTGGGTCCTCCCTGGGTTCTCTCTGGGTCCTCTCTGGGTCCTCCCTGGGTTCTCTCTGGGTTCTCTCTGGGTCCTCCCTGGGTTCTCTCTGGGTTCTCTCTGGGTTCTCTCTGGGTCCTCCCTGGGTTCTCTCTGGGTCCTCCCTGGGTTCTCCCTGGGTTCTCTCTGGGTTCTCTCTGGGTCCTCCCTGGGTTCTCCCTGGGTTCTCTCTGGGTTCTCTCTGGGTCCTCCCTGGGTTCTCTCTGGGTCCTCCCTGGGTTCTCTGGGTTTCTCTGGGTCCTCCCTGGGTTCTCTCTGGGTTCTCTCTGGGTCTCCCTGGGTTCTCTCTGGGTTCTCTCTGGGTCCTCCCTGGGTTCTCTCTGGGTCTCTCTCTGGGTTCTCTCTGGGTTCTCTCTGGGTCCTCCCTGGGTTCTCTCTGGGTTCTCTCTGGGTTCTCTCTGGGTCCTCCCTGGGTTCTCTCTGGGTTCTCTCTGGGTTCTCTCTGGGTCCTCCCTGGGTTCTCTCTGGGTCCTCTCTGGGTCCTCCCTGGGTTCTCTCTGGGTTCTCTCTGGGTTCTCTCTGGGTTCTCTCTGGGTCCTCCCTGGGTTCTCTCTGGGTCCTCCCTGGGTCTCTCTCTGGGTTCTCTCTGGGTCCTCCCTGGTTCTCTCTGGGTTCTCTTCTGGGTTCTCCTGGGTCCTCCCTGGGTTCTCTCTGGGTTCTCTCTGGGTTCTCTCTGGGTTCTCTCTGGGTTCTCTCTGGGTCCTCCCTGGGTTCTCTCTGGGTTCTCTCTGGGTCCTCCCTGGGTTCTCCTGGTTCTCTCTGGGTTCTCTCTGGGTCCTCTCTCTGGGTCTCTCTGGTCTCCTGGGTTCTCTCTGGGTTCTCTCTGGTCCTCCCTGGGTCTCTCTGGGTTCTCTCTGGGTCCTCCCTGGGTTCTCTCTGGGTCCTCCCTGGGTTCTCTCTGGGTCCTCCCTGGGTTCTCTCTGGGTTCTCTCTGGGTTCTCTCTGGGTCCTCCCTGGGTTCTCTCTGGGTTCTCTCTGGGTCCTCCCTGGGTTCTCTCTGGGTCCTCCCTGGGTTCTCTCTGGGTTCTCTCTGGGTTCTCTCTGGGTCCTCCCTGGGTTCTCTCTGGGTCCTCCCTGGGTTCTCTCTGGGTTCTCTCTGGGTCCTCCCTGGGTTCTCTCTGGGTTCTCCCTGGGTTCTCTCTGGGTCCTCCCTGGGTTCTCTCTGGGTTCTCTCTGGGTCCTCCCTGGGTTCTCTCTGGGTTCTCCCTGGGTTCTCTCTGGGTAGTCTCTGGTGTTGTCAAACCCTTCAAAGACATGCACACTTAAATGTTCAAATGGATTGAATTTGAATCTTGATTTGAGCTGAGTTTACTAGTTCAGTGTTTAAATTATTACAGTTTTTAATGTTTTTATGGCAAAAGGATATTTGGCCCAAAAAAAAGTAATCTAAAATGGAAATTGCAACAAAACTATTTTTTGAGAGATTAATCAAAAGAAAACATTTTAAATCAAGATAAATTCTTGTCATTTGAGCTTCTGTTGAGATTTGTACAAAACATTTGTGAGGGTCCCTCAAAATAACACAGTTCATGTACTGCAAAAAATCCACATGGGTTGGAATTGTCACTTCAGAATATTCATGTTTTTGGGGGGAAATTTAAACAGTGTTTGATTAATTTATTGAGTTGGTCAAGATTTTTGGGAGGTTTTTTTTTTAAAGATAGAGTTTTATTTCAATATATATTGTTATTTTTAGCTAGAATCTAAACCAATTATCTAAATCTAAGAAAAAAATCACCCATGTACATTTTTGCAGTACAGTTCCAACATTACACTGGCAGAATTTTATTATAATTTATTAAAAATTCTATCAATATTTAGATTAGAATTTTAGAATTTAGTTAACTCTTGATACTAAGTTCACCCTTCAGTTTGAAAGCAGATATTTATTTTTGCATTAGTTTTATAATTTTATATTATATTTAAGAGTTTCAGATTGATCAAAAAGATTGCTTTTTTCAAGTGTTGCTGTGTAATAGCAGTGTTCATGTTCGGTGCTAAGAGATCTGCGGCTACGAGTCACATTCTGAGGTCACATTCCACTTCTCTTTCCTCTACTCCCTGACTTGATTCTGTTGGTCATTCACATCCCGAGACCAAGAACAGAGGAAGCAAGGAGGCTACCAATCAAGGACACAAGGAGACTAGGAGATGAGGAACCAAAAGGGCCAATTTGTTCAGTAGCTTTGGCAAATATTCCATCTTTCAAACAACAGATTAAAAAAATAATAAGAATAAATTAAGTTGGTAATATACTTTTATACATTACTTTATGTACACTTATAAATGAAACCTCTGATCAGAGCCACGTCCAGAGTTCAAGGATGTGTGGAGTCTGTTACCTTGACGATTAACACGGATCTGCATCAGAGTTTGCTCCATACCCAAAACTGAGACTAAACCCGGAACGAAGACCAAACCAGGACCAAACGAGTGTGAATGGGGCTCTGAACTGGCTCCTAGCAACAGGCCTCCGTGTTACAGTTATTTTTATTTATTTATATATATATTTTCTGTTGCCAAAAATACTTCGTAGCCTGTATAGTTCTTATAGGTCTACTATGCTTTCACAAGAGACCGTACACTGCAAAAAGAGAAATCCAAATGAGTTCTATTAGCCTGAACTTGAAACATGAATCTTGATTTGAGAAATTTAACCAGAATCCATTAAGTTCATAGATCAGTACTTTTGGAGTGGATATTTTCCTATTATCCTTTTAAGGTTTAAGATGAAACTTTTCTGGTGAGGGTTTTGTCACCTGTTTGTCTTCATGGTGATGTTATTGTTTTGCCTGGAAGGTTCTATTCCTGCACAGCAAGGTGGATTCTCGTGATATTTGTGAGTGCACAAACTCAGGAGAATCCATCCTAACTTACACCATTTAAAAGTTTTAGAACATCACACTTTTTCCATTTTTTTGCTGTTTACTGTTGACCAAAACATATTCTAAACTTTTGGTTTATGAAAGTGTCCACCTTTGACAGATATAACAGCTGAACACACTCGTGGCTCTTTCTTTTTTCAATAGAAATCAAATATTCTTCAGAAAGTTCTTCCCAAGTCTGTTGCAGAAGTGCCATAAATGTGTGGCACTTATAGGTTGGTTCATTCTTCTGTCCAGTTCATCCCAAACCAGCTCCATGGGGTTTAAGTCTGGACACTTCATGTTTTCAAGTTAACCATCCTGTTCTTTTTTCCTGAGATAGTTTTGGCAGAGCTTGGACTTGTGTTTTGTATCTTTTTTTTTTTAACCTCTGTCTGTTCAGTTCTTACCTTTGTACCATTTCAAGCTCTTCATTGAACTTCCACAACTTCAACTGCAATAAATAACTGGAATAATTAGGGTGTTCTAAAACTTTTGACCGGTAGTGTAAGCCCAACATATGCCTGCTGTAAGGGTCAAACTAGCCCAGCAGGGGGTGGCCCAGTCACGGAGCAGCAATCAGGTTTATGCAGGAGCCAAAGTCAAAACGCACAAATGAACCAAAACAGAGCAATGCCAACAGAAGGACTTCAGCCTATTTTAGCAAAAATAGTGTTTTGTGAAAAATGTGCAGAGGGAAGAGCTTTGTGCATTTAAGGACAGAGAAGATGTCTGTGCTTTTCTCTCAGTCGGATGTAAGAAAAGTTGAATTTTCCAGCTTGTTGTGAAAATTGGACCAGTCGGATTCAAAAGATCATCCTGACGTTCTACAGGTTAGGAGCCAGCTTAGGAATGTTCCACTGTATTAAACTTTAAACCTTTCCTGCCTACCTTGACAACATGCTTTCTTAAAATGAGGGGAACAGGACTTCCTTGCCACAAATCTGACCCATAACTTGGCCTTTTTTTGTGATAATAGATATGTTTATTACCTTATTGTTGAACATTCTAGGCAAAGCAATCTCCATAGAGACAAGCAGGTAGCATAGAAAAATTACAGTTATGTAGCTTTAAACACACTGATCTTTTTTGCAGCTAAATGATCATCACATCTGATTTCAGAATTAACTGAATCTAAATTACTCAAATCAAGCAGTTTTAAATTCCAGCCATTGTGTTGCAGTGTGTAATATACTTTATTTATTCTAGAGCACAGGTGTCAAACATAAGGCCCGGGGGCCAGATCCGGCCCTCCAAGAACTTTAATGTGGCCCTTGGGTGATTTTCTACTAAAATATTTTAAATGTTGAAATTGAATTTTTCTTAAAGTTTCAGGTTGTTCATAATATTATAGTATTATAATAAGAAAGAGTTCATCAATTAAAAAAGATGTCTGTAATAGATTTGAGTTTCTCTGCACAAATATTTGAACTTATTATTTTTGGGGTTTATATGACATGAGTTTTCTGATCCGGCCCCTTTGGGATCAAAGTAGGTTGGATACGGCCCCGGACCAAAATGAGTTTGACACCCCTGTTCTAGAGGTTTTGTTTTGTACTAATACAGTTAGCCATTGGTGAAGCAAAGCCGTATGTGAGTGTGTATATGCAGAAATATTTAATAAATGTTGACTTACAATACAAATGGACAAATATGTGTTGTTTTTATTCAGTTTTACATTCACATTACTTTGTTTAAACTTAATAAGAGTACAATTCTAGCATCACACATTTCAGACAAAAGGATGATGGATGCCCTTCCTGTGTGTCCATGTGGTCTTATTTTGTATAAAAGCTGCTAACCCCGTAGTTAAGTCCTCAACAAACATGTTCTGAAATGTCCCTGTATGTCAGATGCCCTCCCCGTCTCTTCATGGTGTCCACGGTTTGTAAACATGTTTCAGTTGGCGGTTGTAGCTGGTTCTTCCGGCACTACCTCTCCGATCCACTTGAGATAGGGTGGGTTGCCCTGCTCAATGGGCACACTGATGACCTCCGCCACCTCGTATGGATGGTTAGACCTGGCAATCCCCACACAGAAGTTATGGTTTACATTTAGAGAAATTATTTTGATTTTAAAACCAACTGTGTACGAGGTAAACTTACGAGGTAAGAATGTTCAAAAACATGTCCCGTTTACATTTATTTATGTTATAATTTGGTGTTTTGCAGGGTTTCCATTTTTTTTCCACTGACAAAATTTCAAAACCATGACTTCTCCATGACTTTCTCATGACCTAAAGTGAATTTTACATTACTTTACCCCACCCTATATGCATAGAATTTATCAGACTTTTAGGGCTAAATCTGAAATGTTAACCCTTTCCACTTACCTTAGAGTTTGGGATTATAGTTTTTGAATATTCAATATATTGTCAGTGCATTTATTGTTGTCTCTTTTAAACAACAGGCACATATGTTTGTAAATAATCATAATTTAAGCCTAATGAGAACTTAACAGAATGCAGTAGTTGCCTGAAAGAGACACAAAAATTCTATGACTTTTCCAAAACTTTGAATTTACAAAATTCCATGTTCCAATTTTGTGGTCACTACCTAAACTCAAGAATCTGCACCAGTCATGAGTCAGTGCTAGTGCAGCCTCTGCAGCTCAGGGAGGGACTCTGGAGGTTCTGAGCTTTCACATGAGGCCTGTTCTGTCCATATATTGAGAATGAGACAGACTGGCATGTGCCCTCTATATGAACCTGGAGATCCATTCAGAATGAGGCTGACGCTCTTACCGGACAAACTCAGCTAGAGAAGGAACCTTGGAGCTTCTGGTTTTGATCATCTGCAGAAGGAGGAAAATCACAGCATCATAAGCAGGCCTGGTGCTGCTGTGTGCTTTATTATGAACTCACCAGCAGAACCTCGTCATCCTCCTCGATCTTCCCCTGCCATTCATATCTGCACAGGGAGAATGTGTACACAGGGTCATGATCATGGAATTAATAATTGTGTTTTATAAATTCTTTTCATGCATTACTCCTTCACTCCACACTTGGTGATGGTAAACTGTAGCCACAGCTGCCCTGGGGCAGACTGATGTAAGCGAGGCTTCCAATCTGCACCATCGGCCCCTCCGACCACCACCAACACTCACACACACTTACTGCATTAATTCTAGGCAATGTGGGTGAAGTGTCTTGCCTAAGGACAAAACAGCAATTTCTGCCTCCAGCACAAGACTCTTCCCCATCTTCCATGGATGTGGTGTGTGAGAGATTGGCAGTGATCAGAGATGCTGTTGGTGAATACTGGGAGCTACATTTTCATTAGCTGATGACCTCCCTGACACAAACACAGTCCAGACCAGACCAGGGAGATGTCCTTACACTGATTTGATGGCTGGGACAATGTTCACGCAGGCAGCTAGTTTCCTCTGGACGATGCCCCTGCGGTGACAGAGAGCACAGGGTCAATACTCGCTCGGCCTGTCGCTATAATAGTCTGTGGGCCTATACAGCTCTATGGGAGATTCACTGTTTTTAAGGAAATCTCCAAATCTCGTTATGATAAACGTTGAACCTTGGGACTGGCTCCACACATTTGTTACATTAATCTCATGTCAAGGTCCGATCTTAAACAAAATTTTCTCTAAGCTTTAAGCCATGTTATATGGTTGTTACCTTATTATTAACAGACCTGGAGTTGTGTTGTGTTTCATTCACACATTTGAGTAACCATATATTATTAGTCTGTCTACATCTTAAAAGCTCAAAATACTCTGTTCCACCTTGTGATGTCATTAAGAGGCAGTTTTCAACAGCTTTACTTTTAAAGCCATTTTACTTTTAGTTCAATAAAGTAAGTCAGTTCTAGAGCTGAATGATCAAATGATTCTAGTAATGGTGTGTGGAATTTAAAAACACAGCACACATTGTAATTACAGTGTAAATATGCCAGATTATAGCAAAAAAGCTCATTTTCATCTTTTGTCCCTAAGCAGGTGACACAGAGAACGAATCCAAAATACAAAGACAGAGAGAGAGAGAGAGAGAGAGAGAGACACACACAGAGACAGAACACAGGGCAGCTGAGTCTGTTCCATGTGAGTCAGATTGAGCTGAGGCAGGACACTGACCTTGGATTGAAAGGACTTTGGAGGAACAGATTTATGCAGCAAGGCAACCCCCTGTGTGAGGTGTGCAGAGGGCCAAAGCTTACCGTGCCAGCTCCAGCGCCACTGTGTGGTTGGGGCAGGTGATGAAGGCCGCAGAGTGCGTGCCCGGAGAGTACACTTCGGATGCCATGGACATCACCCTCAAGCCAAGCCTCCGGAGCACGGGGAGCATGCACAGGCTGAGCAGCACCACCTAGGGATGAACAGGACTTTACACAGGTATCAGCGCTTTTTAATGGTGGTTAAAAGGTACTCTAAGTAACTTTTCTCGTTCTATTGCTTTGCCTGGAAAGTTCCACAGAATGGCATTAAATCATATATCCAAAATACCTGGATACCTATGGAAAACCACACAGATCAGACCTGTAACTTGTCCTGGTGGAGTCCCATGGTCCTGCTCATTTCCATGTAGATAAAACTTCATGGAAACAAGCAGGACCATGCCACAACAATGGAATGTAGATATTTATTGACGAAGGATAGATGTGATGGCCGGGAGGAGAGTCTGTCTCATGTGGTCAGCCCAGCCACCAGGATTCAGATTCAGGACCCTCTCCTTTGTAAATGATGTCTTCAGGCTGAAGGATGAACAAGAGAGACGTGGGGTGGGAACGAGTTGAGAGAGAGAAGACAGACGGTGTTGTTGGCCCTTATAAATAGGGCTTCTGGGTAATTGAAGGTGTGGCTGAGTCGAGCTGTGGTTCGCTGGAGAGGAGCAGGGGGAAGTTGAGGTGTAGTCCTGCTCCTGAATCTCAGCCAATCATATTAACTCATTAATAAAAGCAATAACATCTCCATGGGCACATAGTAGACTCTCAAACAGAAAGGTTAGAGTGTGTCTGTGTCCTGAAACAGAAAACACACACTAAAGTTCATGTAGAGGTACAAATGCAAGAAGCAGCAACTTTAAAAAATGCATAGCACACTCAGATGCCCTAAAGTTTTTGTTTTGTTTTAGTTTTTTTAATAGAATTTTAAATAACGAATGGGAAGTCACCCAGTGAGGGAGATATGAGCACCTGGGCTGGCAACCATTTTGTGTACTATGGTCCAAAGCAAGAAAAATTAACTAACAAAGGCTTTTATATATATGTATACGTATAAGTGTGTGTGTGTATGTGTATGTGTGTGTGTATATATATATATATATATATACATACTAGGGATGGGCATGATTCATCGATTAATCAATGATTGATCATTAAGAATTTCATCGATTAGGTTAATTTTAATCCAAAACCGAATGTAGGTTGCTGTGTGTAGCGTGACCAAACAGGGGTCTGTACATGTGTCTCTCTCCACTCAGAAGGAGCGAGACACAAACATTCGATCAGCCTGCAACGTACCGAAGCACAAATGTGTATTTAACGATGATTTGTACAAGAAATTCCACACTTTCCGTTGCGTTCGGGACAAGTGTGAGTCCATGTGCACAGTATATAAAGCAGCACATATGTTTCTGTGTCCAGTGGGAAAAAGTTTTGCCAGGTGAGAGTCGCTCAATGCCGATGATGAGTCCCCACCTCCCTCCCCCTGTACGGTGTCCTGGTTTTGACAAACCAAATCTGGTCACACTAACCTGTATTCACCTGAGTCATGTCTTTTAATCCAACAGAAATTGAACCACATCAGCGACACAAGAGCTGTAGTTTTTATCTTTGCTTAGTTTATGTAAATTAGCGATGCGGTTTTAAGTTTTGTTTCTGTGAGATTTGAACAAAACTGAATTAAACACATTATAATGTCAAACAGCTGATGTGGCTCTAGAGTCGTTACGGTTTATATGTCGTAAAGTTGAATTTATTTATGCAGATTAGTAGTGCAGTTAGTAATAATAATGATGATCATTTTAATATAAAAACGTTAATGATTAATCGATAATCGATCGTTAATTCTTCCGATGATCGATTAAGAAAATTTCATCGAATGCCCATCCCTAATACATGCATACATACATACATATATAATATACATATATTATACATACATATATGTTTCAATGTGTCCCTTACAGAAATTTTAACTCCACACAAAACATGTTCAGTATGTGAAAATGGGCAATCCATCTCACACACTTATCTGAGCTGTGCCCAGACACGCCACGGCTGACGGTGAGCAGTGATTATGGAGTTAATAAACAGTGGCATGAACATGGCTCTGGTCTGCCTCTCCTGTGCAGCACTCACCAACACGACCGCTCTCACGGATCCTACACGCAGCGCGTCCGCACTGGCGAATACGCTCTGCGGGCACAGATACGCACTATTTTACACATCTATAGTGTAGCTCATTGCAAAACAAGAGCATATGGAAACAAATTTTAACAGATTCATGACGGAAACATACACACCTGCATACAGGAGATGTCGTGAAGCGCAGCTTTACGACACCGTTTGCGACAGCGGACACGGCGGCTGCGCAGTGCGCATGGACTGTAGTTCTATGGCAGTGCGCAGTAGCTCGCCGCTCCGTGAACTGTGTGTGTGCGGGGTTCGCTGTGTGTGTGCGGGGTTCGCTGTGTGTGTGCGGGGTTCGCTGTAGGTGAGGGGCTTCTCTGCTGCAGGCTTCCGGCTGTTTGTGCTGTGTGTGTGCGGGATTCGCTGGAGGTGAGGGGCTTCTCTGATGCAGGCATCGGGCTGTGGGAAGTTCTGATGCGGAAGGATCGCTCTTGGACAAATACTTTGGTTTTGAAACAAAGCGCACATTTTACGCACAAGTTCTGTTCCTTTTGGCGCAGTTGGGAGCCGAGTTAACATGGCACAGCGCAGGAATTTAAGCCAAAGCGTAAGTACCAGAGGGTCGCACCTCCACAGGGGGCTGGGGTTGTTTTGGTTTGACTGATGCGCCGTCTCCACACTCTTCTAAGGCCCAACTTTCCGGGTCACCCATGGGCCAAGCTTAACTAGACTTAACCAAGGAGATGGGTAAAGTTTCATTTTCACATTGGCAGCTTGGCATGGCGAGTGGCGGCAGTTATTTGGTGACAGGTTTTATAACAGAAGCCACTGATGTCTTAAAGTTTTCATCAAGTAATAGTAGCCATTCCAAATTGGAATTCAAAACAAGTAGCCAACTTTTGGGCATAGTTCGTAACAGCACAGTAAGTCGACGTGTTTATGAAGACTTCTGTGTCACGTAAAGCAGTAATGTAGGTGTTGTAAAAAGAGTAAAACAGTGAGACCACTGACCCATGTGTGGTTGTGTTGATCAGCACCAGAGCTGGACAGATGACCTGCCCGTGTGTGAGATGTGTGGAGTGGGCACTGCCCCCAACTGTGTGTACGGAGCTGAGGCAGCGGGCAGCCAGAGCCACCCCTATGAGGACGCACACATCCGCTTCAGGTAGATCTACACTAGCCTACACCTGCAGCAGCCACCACCAACCTACACACCGGCTTCCATAAGTCTTACAATTTATACACCAGTCTACACCAGCAACAGTGGCTTACAACAGCCTACATTTCGCCAGCCTGCACTACGCCAGCCTGCACTACGCCAGCCTGCACTACGCCAGCCTGCACTACGCCAGCCTGCACTACTACGCCAGCCTGCACTACGCCAGCCTGCACTACGCCAGCCTGCACTACGCCAGCGTGCACTACATTACGCCACTGCACTACGCACTGCACTACGCCAGCCTGCACTACGCCAGCCTGCACTACACCAGCTGCACTACGCCAGCTGCACTAGCCATTGCACTACGCCAGCGCACTACGCCAGCTGCACTACGCCAGCGTGCACTACCACTACGCCAGCCTGCACTACGCCAGCGTGCACTACGCCAGCCTGCACTACGCCAGCGTGCACTACACCAGCCTGCACTACACCAGCGTGCACTACACCAGCGTGCACTACACCAGCGTGCACTACACCAGCGTGCACTACACCAGCCTTTACTACACAAGCCTACAGTATACCAGCAGCCTACACCGTTAGACATAGTACACAAAAATTATAATAAAGCTTTGAGAAGCAGAATTTCATTCAGAAAACATTTTTTTTGTATTTGTTTGACAGCTTAATTCACAGACAGTGTAGGCTTTCTTCCCTCACAGCCTGACATGTGTGTTGTGTGTAGGGGCGAGGACGGCTGCTCTCTGTACGGTGTCTTTAACGGCTATGATGGTAATAAAGTGGCCAGTTTTGCCTCTCAGTTCCTCACAGCTGAGCTGCTCCTGGGGCAGCTCGCCACGGCCCACAGCGACGCAGAGGTGCGCCGCATACTTACACAGGTACGCCCCCTAGTGTCTGCGCACCACACAAGTACGCCCCCTAGTGTCTGCGCACCACACAAGTACGCCCCCTAGTGTCTGCGCACCACACAGGTACTCCCCCTAGTGTCTGCACATCACACAGGTACCCCCCCTAGTGTCTGCACATCACACAGGTACTCCCCCTAGTGTCTGCACATTACACAGGTACTCCCCCTAGTGTCTGCACATTACACAGGTACTCCCCCTAGTGTCTGCACATCACACAGGTACCCCCCCTAGTGTCTGCACATCACACAGGTACTCCCCCTAGTGTCTGCACATTACACAGGTACTCCCCCTAGTGTCTGGGCATCACACAGGTACCCCCCCTAGTGTCTGCACATTACACAGGTACTCCCCCTAGTGTCTGGGCATCACACAGGTATTCCCCCTAGTGTCTGCACATCACACAGGTACTCCCCCTAGTGTCTGCACATCACACAGGTACCCCCCCTAGTGTCTGCACATTACACAGGTACTCCCCCTAGTGTCTGGGCATCACACAGGTACTCCCCCTAGTGTCTGCACATTACACAGGTACTCCCCCTAGTGTCTGGGCATCACACAGGTACTCCCCTTTGTGTGAGAGGTATACAGAATAAGACCCCATGGAGACACAGGGACATTTTCTCATGGAGCACATTTTATAGCCTTGAATGTTTTTATTCACATTAAAGCTAAAAAATAAACAAAATGTACTGCAGCAAAACTGATTCGCATTGGGCATGACTTTAAAGTAATGTTTATGGCCTTGTAGGCGTTCGACGTGGTGGAGAAGAGCTACTTTGAGTCCATAGATGACGCTCTGGCAGAGAAGGCTCACCTGTCCAACTTCCTTCCACGCGATGGGGTAGACTCAGACACAGACTCAGACACAGACTCAGACACAGACTCAGACACAGACTCAGACACAGACTCAGACACAGACTCAGACACAGACACAGACACAGACACAGACACAGACACAGACACAGACTCAGACACAGACACAGACACAGACACAGACACAGACACAGACACAGACTCAGACACAGACACAGACACAGACTCAGACACAGACTCAGACACAGACTCAGACACAGACTCAGACACAGACTCAGACACAGACTCAGACACAGACTCAGACACAGACACAGACTCAGACACAGACTCAGACACAGACACAGACACAGACACAGACTCAGACACAGACTCAGACACAGACTCAGACACAGACACAGACTCAGACAGACTCAGACACAGACACAGACACAGACTCAGACACAGACTCAGACACAGACTCAGACACAGACTCAGACACAGACTCAGACACAGACTCAGACACAGACACAGACACAGACAGACACAGACACAGACTCAGACAAAGACACAAACACAGACTCAGACTCAGACACTAGGGAGGACGATACTGACATACAGTATTTAGAGAACAAGTTCATTTTAAAAGGTTTGCAGTGGACCAATATAATTCTTTATTTACGCATTCCAAGCATCTTAATTATTCACCACAATGAGTTTATAAGCAGTTTTCACAACTCGCAGAGACAAGCGCAGAGTTTTGCCATCACAGTTGCTAACTATTTACAGTAAGTAAACAACTAGCATGCCAACGCATACTTTCTGACTATCAGACAATAAAACACTTTATAATTAGATGTAAACCCGATAGCATACAGAGGACTTGTTTTGACCTCAAGAGCTGCTTATACAATATAGTATATCTGTACTGGGTCAAGACACATTTTGCTCAAATATATAGAAAAATCTGAGTACAGAGGTTTTCAGTTTACCACTTTATGTCCTTGATTGAAAAATTATAAGCTCTCATTTTTGTTGGCAGCTTTTTAATAGTTTTCAGGTTATAGATCGCATTATAAATCTACATTTTAAAATTATTTCTTACTGAAAATAGTGTTAAATGAGTAAAAATATGGCTTTACGTTCCTTAGCAACACTATGAAAATCTTGAGGTTGTTTTTAAAATTCTTTTTTTTTTGTTATTGTTATTATTTTTGTTTATTCCAATTTTTTTTCCTGTGCTGTGCTGCTGCAGTTTGGGGTCAGATATTTTAAGTGTTTTTGCTGCAAAAATCAGCTCTGTGGAACTAATGGCCACCATACTTATCAATGTGTTTTTGAAACTCTATAAACTGGCAAACATTTTCCAGAATCTTCCATCCATCCATTTTCTTCCGCTTGTCTGGGGCCAGGACTCCCAGACTTCCCTTTCCACACACACTTCCTTCAGCTCTTCCGGGGGGACCCCGAGACGTTCCCAGGGCAGCCAAGAGACTGAACCTGGTTGTAGGGACGTTGAACATCACCTCGCTGGGGGGAAAGGAGCCTGAGCTTGTGCGGGAGGTTGATGTACTGGACAGATATAGTCGGGCTCTCCTCCACGCACAGCTTGGGCTCTGGTACCCAACTTCTCGAGAGGGGTTGGATCCTCCATTTTTCTGGTGTTGTCCATGGGGATCGGCCACGGGCTGGAGTGAGTTTGAAAGTGTTAGTATAGCGTTGAAAGTATTTGTCTTTTGTGCATTCAGAGCCAGAAGGTGCAGGAGCGGCTGCAGGAGCTGGAGCAGGAGGTGTGTGGAGGAGCTACAGCTGTGGTGGCCCTGATCCTCAACAACAAGCTCTACATCGCCAACATGGGTACACACACATATGCACACACACACACACACACAGAGACACACACACACACACACACACACACAGACACACACAGACACACACACACAGACACACACACACACACACACTCAACAACAAGCTCTACATTGCCAGCATGGATACACACATATATACTGTAAATTAAGGATATAATTATTACAAGCCACTACTTTTTTCTCACACTTTGAACCCTGCAGCTAATAAAACAATGCAGCTAATATATGGCCAGATTATTTGTTTGGCACAGTGTCCATTCATAAACTGTATTTTCGGACTGTAAGTCGCACCAGCCAAAAAATGCTCAATAAGAAGAAAAGTTGCACTTTTTGGGGAAAATTTATTTTATAAAATCAGAGACCAGGAACGGACATTTCATCAAAGACAAGTTCTAGTAATAATAAAAGAGAGAACAACAGACTGTTAACGTCACATATTTCACAGTTCTTCAGATAAACTATAACATAAACAACAGAACAGAACAAGTTTAACCAAACTCTCCATCTCACTCCAAATCACTAAATCCATTCAATTCTTCATCCTCGGTGTCACTTCTGACCAACTTTGCGACCTCCGGAGGTAAACCATAGATCCATCAGGTAAATGGAGTGCCGCCATCAGACTCAGCATCAGTTCCAGTTAGAATTATTCAGACATTTCTGAAAGTTGAAAGTGGCATGGTGCACCATCCCGGTTGCCGTGAAGCCGTGTTCTCCATCCCCACCTTTCACCAGTCCTTCACAAGTTTCTCACTCACTCCAAACTTTCTTTCTGCTACTCAATTACTGTTTTTGGCTGAATATTTTACTACTTGCAGCAAGACAGCAGCTTTTTCTGTAGGAGACATGCGCAGTAGTGACAGTGGTACAGTGAGTAGCAGATACTGACACACAAGCCTAGAGTGCCCTCTCGTGGCTGTCAGTGTAAAAGATGTAATATATAAGTCACAAAGGAGTATAAGTTGCAGGACCACCCAAACCATGAAAAAAAGTGCAACTTATAGTTCAAAAAATATGGTATACGGTCTATGGTTTGGCAACACAGCGGATACGTGCAGCCTGAGTGCAGAAAACACCGCTGTCTGTGCGGGTAACACATGGATCTAGGGTGTGATAAAATAAGTTATGATGCTAAATGAACATTAGTGAGGGGGATACGTCTTACCCGTATGCATAAATGATGAGAAGAAACGTCTCAAACTTAAGTAGCCGGACATCCACTCATACCTGACTGACAAAACTAGCCCCACCCCCGAGCGAGTCTGAAATCTGCTGAAATCCTTCGAGACACTGACATGATACAGACAGGACAGAGAGAGCACGGGGAGAAACGGGGGTGATGCGCTGAGGAAGATGCTGTTTGATTGTGTTTTAAAGTTATTTTGCGCTTCATGCACACACCCTCCTCATGTAAAACACACGAAGAAATGCAGATGATGCAGCTTTTAAGTTAAAGGTGATTGATGTGGCTGTGGAAGAAGGAAACAGAGCTGCTGCGCATGAGCTTGGCATCAGTAAGTCGACGGTGAGATTTTAGTGATGGTAGCATGACGAACTGACTCACTGCAAAAAGACGACAAAAATTTCAGAGGCGATAAAAGCTGCTTGCCCGTAATGTTCTTGAAGGCGTGGACACCTGTGGCTTATATTCAGCTGCTGCCTATATATGTACAATTTTTAAATTTTGTTAAATAGTCCGAAAATACGGTATACACACACCAAACCCTCTCATCCTGAACAACAAGCTGTACATCACCAACATGGATACACACACATATACACATGCAGGCACACAAACATACACAGACACACACACACAGACAGACAGGTAAAATGTAAAATGGCAGATTCACATTTATAATCTGTCTTTATATAAATACATTTTCTAAATAACAGTTTTTGCCTGAAGTGCTGTGCAGTTTTGGGTCAGATACTTAAAGTGTTTTGCCCCCAAAGGTAGGTGGCATAAGTGGAAAGCACATTCTAGAAGGTTGCTGTGTCCTTATGTCACTTCATTCACTAGAAGTAGCTTACCACCAGTGTGTGGAGTAGATTAAAGAAGACCTATTGTGCTTGTTCAACAAACTTTATTGATCCATATGGAAATGACAGTAGCTCACAGCCTCATTTATCACAATACATTATAATTACAAATAGCAAAAATATAAATGGTAATACATTCTAAATAAATATCGAAAATAATAAGAGACTGGCGTCAAATAAGGCATGATTTGCCTAATGTTTATGTACATGTAAAAAAAAAAAAGAAATGTATAGAAAGAAGACATGGGACTGCTGTGCAAATTGTAGAGGATTGGAGAAGGGGGCCACCAGGGGACGGAGCTGAGGCAGAAGAAGTCTCTCAAACACTTTGATTACATCACACTAGTGGGTAGCAGATTTTTTTTCCTTTTTTACCGAAATGACTACGTGACACTGGTGATCCTACGTTAATCGGCGATTAAGAAAAATAAAACTGGAAGAATAAAGTAAGAACAGAGCAGTGGCTGCATGCCAGTGCTGGTGAGAACGAGCGTCAACTGATCAGATAGCTCAAACATGCACGAGTCACTCCAAATACGACTTCAGAGGGTTGTATTTTATTTATTTATTTTTAATTGACCTCCATTAGCTATCAGCTATTCTTCCTGGAGACCTATGTTCTTGCATGTTTTTTTGGGTGGATGGGGGAAACCGGAGTGCCTAGAGGAAAACCCACCCAGACCCAGGGAGAACATGCAAACTCCACACAGAAAGGGTAAATGAGAAGTAGCTACAACTATAGTGACAACAACTGTTCTGGTTACAATCTCTGAGAAGTGAATGTTGCATAGTGCTTCTGCTTATAGACTCATTGTGTGTGTGTGTGTGTGTGTCTGTGTGTTGCTGTGTGTTGCTGTGTGTTGCAGGCACAGACCGGGCACTGCTGTGCCGCTCCAGCAGTGACGGGCAGAACCAGGTGCAGCAGATCGGCCGCGCCCACAGCACCGACAACGAGGACGAGCTGCACCGGCTGGCAGCTCTGGGTGAGCTCCTTTGTTTAATCTTTGACATTGCTTTGGCTAATGCATCTCACTGCTGCTACAAAAATAGCAGATTTTTCTGTAGGTCCCATCCAAAACCTCTTCTGTACACCCAGGCTCCTTCATAGTGAGTCAGGCTGGTTTTAAACATCATGACATGTCATATTCTCACAGGGACTGAGACCAGCCACTTCTTTATTGCTTCTAAAGTGGGTATGCCCATAGTTTTAACCATAGACTGTATATAACTAGCCTCAGGGAGTGTCATGTCACCCACAGCATTCGGTTCCACTCAAATGTAGCTCATTGAGGCTAGCAGTTAGATGGGGGAATATTTGATTTGATTTATTTATTTGTTTATTATTATTTTTATTATTTGATTTTATTTATTTATGTTTTACATAGCGCTGTTCATAGATATGTCACAAAGACACTTTACAGCTCATTATTCATTTACTCTACACTCAGTGGTAGTAAACTATTATTGTAGCCACAGCTGGCCTGGGGCAGACTGACGGAAGTGAGGCTGCCGATCTGCGCCATCGGCCCCTCTGACCACCACCATCACTCACACACACACCACTTTCATACTAGGCAATGTGGGTGAAGTGTCTTACCTAAAGATACAACAACTTTTTTTTGAGACTGGCGCCCCCCTGTGGCAACTGATTTACCCAGTGGCTCCATTCAAGTACTGACCAGGCCCAGCCCTGCTGAGCTCCTGAGATCTGACAAGATCAGGCTTTGGCAAGTCGGTATGGCCACACAAAAACACTAAATTTGGAGCAGAGTTCAAATATTTGGAATTCAGGCCATGAGTGTTATAGCAACCAAAGAGCCAATCAGAAGCGAGCCTGCTGAAGGTACCCTTAGCAACATGGTCAGACCGGTTGCTAACATTATTAAAGTGCATATCTTAATTTATGGATGAAATAGAGAAATAATAAATAAGTAAATAAATAATAAAAACACCAGGATCATGTAGAATGGGTTACAGAAAGATGATCTGTAGAACACACGGCTGTTCAGTTCTTTAAAGATTTCTTAGTGCCTGTTATATTTGACCTGTATGCTAATCACTAATGCTAAACATAAAGTCATTTTATACATAAGAGCAGATTTATACGTTCCACTTCTACACAAGATATGTTCCAGCTGTCCTGTTTTTGACCAGTGTCACTGAGTCACTTAGTCTTTAAGCCTATGCACTGAAACATAGTTTTATTGTCATTGGTGCAAACCCAATAGCCATGCAGAGTAAGTACTTAAGACATTAAATAAAACAGACCAGACTGTTGAGCGGACTTGTAGCCACAGGGTTCATATGGTGATTTGTTTTTGGACCCAGTCCTTAAGAGAAAAAGAGATATTATTATTATTATTGTTATTGTTATTATTATTATTATTATTAAGGAAGCTTCTCACTTAGAGTTTAGTGAGAGTGGGGAGGAATGGGGGGGAAAGGGAGGAGGAACTGTTTTTGGAAAGTTCTGGACTGATCTAATTTACACACCTCTGTTCCTTGTTCCTCTGTGCTCCCTCTCTCCTTCTCTGTGCTCTCTCTCCTCATTTGCTCCATCTCTGCTCCATTTCTGCACCCTTTCTACTCTCTCTGTCTCCTTCTCTCCTCCTCCTTTCTTCCTCTCTGCTCTCTTCCTGCTCCCTTTCTCTGTTCCCTTTCACCTTCTCCGCTCCTCTCTCCTCCTTCTCTGTACCCTCTCTCCCTTCTTCCTGCCTTTCTTCTCCTCCTCTTCCCCCTTGCTCCTCCTCTCTGCTCCTCTCTCCCTCTCTTCTCCCTCTCTGATCCCTCTTTCTGCTCTGTCCCTCCTCCTCTCTCAGGGGTGGATTCGGCGCTGATCCGGCAAGCTGGGCAGATTGCAGGGCACAGGAGCACCAGGCGGTTGGGAGACTACCGCGCCAAGATCCACTACAGCGACACCCACCTGCTCAGGCAAGCACCTGCACACACACCAACACACGTGTCTCTGAACGCACATTTAGTCCTCACAGTCAGATTGTATTACTCAAGATATAGTGGTCCAACAAAAAAAAGTTTTTTGAGAAATGACTACTCAAATACGAGTAACTTAAAGAGTAACTGTTGGGACATAACATCTGATTTATAATTTGAAATGAATGTAATTAGAAGGACACAACATTAAATAATGCACAAAATCTGTTATTGTCAAAGACAAACAGTAAAATAAGACAACTACATTATTTCTGAAGGTGCGGAGCAAGAAACACAAATGTTCAAATCATTTCATACAGTAAAGATAAATAAGTACTTAAGTAGGAGTAAAATATGAGGCTAGTAAAGTACTCTGAAAAAAATAGAATTTCTTTAAACAGTTACTCAAGTAATTGTAACAGAGTAGAAGTACTTCCTACCTCTGCTCTCACCTCTGTGAGTGGGATTTGGATGCGGTCTGCCCCTGTCTTAGCATACCTTCATAACGGACACTGTGTGATGATGTTCTAGTGGTGGCCCTCTTTGTTTGTCCAGCTCAGCCAAAGCAAAGCCGATCATCGCAGAGCCAGAGATCCACAGCCAGTCCTTGGAGCGCGTCAGCGGCTTCCTGCTGCTCATGTCAGAGGGGCTCATCAGTGCCCTGGAGAGTGCCCATGGCCCCGAGCACGCCAACCAGGTACACTCACCTTCTGACATCCTCATAATAAAACAGAATGCAGATCATTCTGTGGCCACAAGATGGCACAAATATAAGACTATAATGGGCCATAATCCACACAGCCTTCATAGGGAGTGGCTGTGTGTCTCCTGAGTGAGTGAGGGAGGACATGGAGGAACCAGTTCTCTCTCATGTTTATTTGTTCAGAGTAGTACAAAAAATAGGACTGGCACCATGACTGATTTAATATTTGTTAAGCTGATATTTGCTGTTAACCATTATTTGTGAGTGATGGGAAGTTAACACTGTTATACATACACAGTATATACATATTATATTTATGTATAATCAAAAATAGTGAAAGTGATTAAAGTAAGTAAGGAAGGTGGACACAGCGGTGGGGTCTGGAGGACTAAAAGAAGAGGGTGGGGGTGAGAAACTCCACCCCTGCAGCAAGGTGTTTGTATCACAAACACTGTAAACTTTAATCAGGGCAGTTCATAGAATGTATAACAAAGTGGACTAAGTGAGTGTGACGCATAGGCAGAGTTTTGGGGGGTCAGGGGGGTCACTGCCCCACCTAGTAGTTGAAATATGTTACGACACAGAGTCTGAGTATGCCCAATACAAATATTTAATAAAAAAAATGTATTAATATTTTAAATATGTCAACACAAACAAAAGGATTGTATGAAATAAATATGAATCCTAATCTGAACCAGGACTGAACCAGGTCTAAACCAGGACTAAACCAGGACTAAACCAGGACTAAACCAGGACTAAACCAGGACTAAACCAGGAAGAAACTAGGACGAAACCCTGAGCCCATGGAGCAGCGTGATCGGCCGCCGGCTGCGGTGAGCTCAGTGAGGCACAGAGCTCTGCACTGGTCCTTTCTGCAGCGGTCACTCGACACTCTACGTGGGTACATCTCTGAGCCTGTCACAACACTCTGATTCAGTCCTGGTTCCTCACGTCACAGGTCACTATAGGACAGTACTGCAGATATCATGAGCCTATGCAGGTTATTTTCACCGTTGCCAGTATCTCCGGTTTGACATTTAAGTTGTAATTAAGTTTTAAGTAATAATTTTTTTCTATTTCACATCGGGAGAAGTGGGTGGATGGCGTACCCCCATGTACCACCCCCACTACACCCTGATCATGTGTGATGTGCTGTGTAGCTTGGCTTTATGGGAGACTTATGAACAGTTCTGTTGCATGAGTAATAGCATTATAACTATTGTATGTAATGTCACAATGTCATTGTACAGGGCAAGGCATTTCCCTGCTGTGCACATGGCAATACGCACTTTAAATCTTGAACTTAACGCTCAACTTAATGTTTGCCCCACCCCAGCGCAAAAGTCAAACTCCGCTTCTGGTGTGACGTCACCCACAGCGTTTGACTCCAGTCAAATGAAGCTCACGAGGCTCACAGTTACAGGAGTGAATTTGGAGACAGGCTCTATATTAGAAATAGGTCAAATTTTTTAATGGACAAAATAGTGAAAAAAACATCAGGATCATGTAGAGTGGGTTAATATGAACATTTTAAGACCAAAGCAGCAGTTCCGGAAAGAGGGATGACAGTATTCCACTGTAAGCCAATGAGAGCCAGGGTCTGTAGGACCCAAAGAGCCGCATGTGAACTTCCTATTTGGAGTGCAACACACACTCACACACTTGGCAAATACAAATGTACTGCAATTTGCTGCAAATGTATGTATTTTGACAAAAAGAACTAGGTAAAGTACATAGTTTTAATAGCAAAAAAATTGAATTCATTGTTAGTTCCACTTTATAGTTGCAGTACATTTTTCAATAAATGTTTCAAGTTCAAATAAATAATAACATAATGTTATAATATGGTTTGCTATACTCTATTATGACTGTTTAAACACCGACTGTTGTCTGGGCAACAGGAGATGGTTGCCATGGTGGCAGCAGAGCTGGCGCAGCAGTCTAACCTGGAGGCTGCGGCTCAGTCTGTGGTGGAGCGGGTCAAACGTGTGCACCACGACGTCTACATGTCTGGACGCCAAAGAGCACCCCTCTGTGGGCAACATGAGGACATGACCCTGCTCATCCGCTGCATCAACTACCCCGGGCCGGACCCTCCCACACCCACTCAAGGTATTCACATACCCACCTGTGGTACTCATTTGCCAACCTATAATACTATGGTACTCACTTGTGACATGCGAGGTGTTATGTCAGCTCTGTATAACCATGTTGGTGGAGTGGACCTGAGAGGATTTGATGATTCTGGATTGTCAAAATAAGCCAGGCTTTGGCCTAGTCTTAACACAGAACAGTGTTGGCTTTTGTGTTATGTGTGTGTGTGTTTCAGGGGGGAGGATCTACCCAGTGTCGGTGCCTTACTCTAACTCCCAGAGCACTAGCAAAACCAGCGTGACCCTGTCCCTGGTCATGCCCTCCATCTGCACCCTGACCAATGGGACCAACACCACATCTGCGCAGGAGGAAGAGACCCCCACCCCAGGGTGAGACAGACGTACACAGACTCACTCACACACACATGCACACACATACACATACACACACACACACACACACACACACATACATACACACATACACACACATCAATGTAAGAGCCCAGGCCCTCTACAAAGTTCATCATGGCACTGTTAGGATATTGTGAGGAGAAACAATGGGCCTCACGCTGCAATGTTTTAGAAACTAAAGTCTGTTCTGAGTTAAAGGTGCACTCAAAACTTTTCTGAAGTGCACACTACCTGCTGTCTCCATGTAAATGTTATGGTTGGTTTGCCTGAAATGTTCCAGTGTTGACTTGCGCTTAACTTTCTAACATTTATTTGTTGAGGGTTTGATTGAGAAAACATACATTCCTCTAATCTTTTGTTTTTGAAAGAAATAACCAAACAGGAAGTCCACAAACGGTGACTTTCTTTTTATAATTCAAATCTTTAGCACTTTTTTTATACTGAACAAAGACAGAACAGTTAATAGTAATAAATGTACATTTAACTTTTTTTTTTTTTTAATTCTGACTTGGATAATACCTGTGCAAAAATATTTAACATAATTTTACATTAGTTAAGCTGTAGAAAAAAGTTAAGAGGAAAAGTACAAGAATACCTAGAGTAGCGCTGAGTTCTTAAATGGAATTCCTCTACCTACGACATAAACACTGAAAATTCGATCCAAAATTTAGAGATCATTTATCACTTTAAGCTTTCTTTTAACAAAACTAAGGTATTGTCATTTATTCGTGTTAGTCTAATGACCGTGCAGTTTAGACAAGTTTTGGCCCTTGTGTACATAATAGCTGATAGGTAATAGGAAGTACCTCTACTTATATCAAATCAGAAAGTGAAATTATAAACTTCTGCAAAGTGTGAATCTAGAAGAAATTCAGGCCAATTTATAATAATGGTAACTGGTGAAATTAACCTGCCACATGCACTTTAAAGAGCCCATATTATACACTATGTATGTTCTGTTTTCTCATCAAAACATACAGTTGTTAAATTGAAAACTACCACTTCATAACTCAGTGGGAACAGCATTTTGAGTTTTGGAGATGTAGACAATAATAATAATAAAATATAGCCGCAAGCAGCAATGATCGGCCCTTGCTATCGCCTCACAGTCACAGTATACTCCTTTGTTCCTATTCCCATGATGCATCTGTGCACCAAATTTGGTTTGAGTACGTCAAAGTTTTAGTTTTTGTTTGGACGTCCCATTGGTGAGGACAGATTTTTGGCTTGTTGCCGTGGTAACATGGAGTGTGGACATCATTGACCTTTTTTTTTTTTTATTTTATTTTTTTTATCAAGACCAGACCTAGCAACCACGTAATATATATTTTTTTTTCCTATTCCTATGATGTATCTGTGCACCAAATTTGGTTTGGCTATGCCAAAGTTTTGTTGAACATTCTATTGACAAGGACAAATGTTTGGCCTGTTGCTATTATTGCAACACGATGGGAAATGGCGTGGGGTTGTCATTGACTTTTTTGATTAAGACCATGTCACGTGTAATTTAAGGTGTCTACGACAAAGTTAAATTTAGCTGTTCCATGTAATTTCCCTAGAGGGCGTTATCGCGCCCATTTGAGATTTTCTTATTAGAGCCCAACCGATATGAATTTTGCTGTGGCCGATATGAAACCGATATAATGAAAGTTGGAGCTTCCGATATATTTAGTGATGTGAAAAGTCACTGTAAATGTTGAATTGTTTAAAAAATTTAGGTTTGGCTTTGGTGGATTTTAAATTGGGTTTAATTAGTCAACATTTATTGTTATTCTGCCTCTTTACATCATATTTACAGACAGTAGGTTGGCTTAATGGCATTTTTGCATCACATTCTAGACACTAGTGATGGGTATTCCAGTTCTTTTCAGAGAACTGGCTCTTTTGGCTTGGCTCACTAAAAGCTGCTGGTTCTTTTGGCTCCCAAGCGGCTCTTCAGTCCTGATTCAGTCCTGAACCAGGTCTTAACCAGGACTGAAAAAGGACTAAACCAGGACTAAAACAGATCTAGACCATGTGTAAAATAGGACTAAACCAAAACTGAACCAGGAGTGTCGGGACTCGGTCTGTATCTCGTGCCCAAGATTAGTCCTGGTTTATTTATTTTATGCTAAACTATAGCCAAATATGCAAGTTTTTTTATCCTATGTACACGCAAATTTCTCAAAGTTTCGTTTGTAGCCGCTGTCAAACTACCACGAGTCTGCACATAGCATAAAGAGAAAAAAAGTGAGAGAAAGAGAAAACACGACTCCCAATAAGGATCAGGCTCCCGTTGTTCGCTTCAGAGCCGGCTCTAAGAGCCATTTTGTTCGCGACCGACCCATAACTAGTAAAGAAACTAGCGTTATTAGCCTTTAGCCGTAAATGCTGCGCACCACGGTAATTAATTATATGCGCAAATTTCATCATTCACACGTCTATTCACAGCTCATTCACATATCAATGCAGGTTCAGTAGCAAATATACGGCCAATGTAGTCACTTTACAATAGGCCAATAGAAAACAGCCTGTTTATGTGCGGGAGCTACAGCAGCTAATCCATAACAAATGACCAAAACTAGCCTCAAAGTCGACATATTTCCATATATATATATCGGCATATTGGCCGATAGCCGATATGCCTCCAGGTGCCCATATCGGCCGATAATCGGTCAGGCTCTATTTCTTATATAAATCTGTTCTGGGTCGGAGTGTCCACCAATGATTAAAGTTTGAGTGAAATCAGCCAAAGTTTATGTGAATTATCACTTGTCGAAGTTTGATGGCGAGCTGCAAAAATGAACCCGAAATTTGCACCGTTGCCACGGCAACACCATTTGATCTTCTAAAAAGCTTTTAACAACTTTTAATGTCCCACTTGTCTAGATGATACAGAATGATTCTAGTGAGTCTGGGTCAAACGGCCGGGAACGAGTTTGTTACGAGGACAGGAAATTGCGCCTTCGATGCCAGGTCGCATGATCAGTCCAATATGGCCGACTTCCTGTTGGTTGCCTAGCAACTGCGTTTTTTTTTGTTTTTGTTTTTTTTTTGGAACGACAAGACCTGTCCACCACCCAAATTTTGTTTGTCTATGACAAAGTTGATTTTATAGGCATAGCCATAGGCGCAATGTATTTGATTTTGCAGGGGCCGCTGTTACAAAATACAAAATTGATGTATTGAGTATTTATAAATTCCTATTTTGGCATTCTTGAATTTTGTGCAGAATTTTGTGAGTTTTCGTCAGCGACATGTCACTGAACATAGTGGCCCTATAACAATATAGTGCCATCTGTGGTGGCACATATATATGTCACTGGAAAATGCTCGCGTCCAGTAACTCACCCGTGGGCTCTATAGAGCTCCGGGAGCTGACGTCATACCGGCTCGTCAGGCACAAGGTGTCGCCATTTTGGCAGTAATCGGCAGATCGGCTGACTCGCGCTGTACGACTCCAGCGCAATAACAGATTGTTCTCCAGACGCAGCCGCGATTCATTTCCGAATTATTTTGCCAACAATTTTCCAATACAGATAATGTAATACACAAAGATCAGAGCAAGAACCAATGTGCGAACGTGTGGCTCCAAAGTAGCAAACAGCATTTGTTATTTTAGGCTTATAATTAACCAAATAATTTTATGGAAATAGGCAATAGCTTATTCAATTGATTCAACTTTAAAAATGTCCTGCTTTTAGCCTAGTGTGAGAAATGCTACAGTCGCACTAGATCCAAACCAGAGTCCTGAACCAGCGGGAGAAGCTCCAGTTCAGGCCGGGCTCAGAGGAGCTACAGCGGGGAGTGGTGTCAGGAGCCTTGGCCTGACAAGAACGTTCCCCAGGAACAAAGAGCGTGGAGGTCGGACGCTCAGAACAACATATAACCCACCAAACTATTCACGCTTCTGTCCGGATGCTTTGCATCACCTCGGAACCAGCCGCAGTTCTTGACCGCCGGAGCGAACTGTCCAGACCTGTAGTCCACAGTGCATTCTCGCTTTTCCCGCACGGAACCAGCGTGCAGACGATGACACGGAACAGCTCAGACCCAGCCCATCAAGCACTGGTCTTGCTCGCTACCGTCTGGAACCAGCACATGGAGGACAGAGCCTCCGGACCAAGGACCAGACCGCAGACCCCGTCCTGAGGGATCTGAGCTGCGGTGAGTGCTCCTCTTTATCGCTGTTGCTGCTGCTGTTACCCGTGCTTTTGTGTTTTACGAGTTCATGATGACTCTTGAGATGAGGATGTCCCGTGGTCTTAACAGGGAACATCTGTGTTGATAATTGGAGGTATCGCTGTTCTACCAGGAAACAGAGGCATGTCAATCGGACCAATTTTGGTTCATTTGGCGATGTACTGCGGATCTGGGACGTCTTCTTCAGCGGAAATATTTTTTAAAAACACCCCCGGGGCATTATACGGTCAATGTTTAATCCATTTAATTTTGATCTGAAGCTCAATGTCTTGTGAATTAAAGTGAGTACTCCGATGGCTTGAAAAATTCAGCGGTGGCGCTATCCATTTTTACTGCCAAAATGGCGGCCCGCCCACCGTGAGTCACGTGGGGTCCGGAGCTCTATAGTCAATGACGAGCGCAACACAACCTCTTCAATTACTCACATACCCAATGCACATTTTTGGAGTTTACGAGAGTTAACGATTACAGTTATGGGCAATAATGGGCAATGCCAGTCTGTACTATTGGATGCCATGTGTCACAATTGAGTGGCATTTGAGTGTTTGATAAGGGGAGAGCGCTTTGCGCTCTGTTTTCGCACGATGTCAAGTGTGCCCTACGTTTTGGGGTGAACAATAACAATTAGGCCACTGTCGCAGCTCACAGGCGATGACACCGTTCCATGTCAGCGGGCACCAGTCTTTGCATTGCTGAACAATCGCAATAGGCCCTACACCACCCATGGCGCTTGGGCCTAATAAAGGGTTTCTCAGTTGTGTGTGATTGAAACAAAACACAACTCCAGGTATGTT